GGAATATTCCTCCCCTAGCTGTGAAGTGAGGAATAAAATCTGTGTTCTTGAAGCCTCCTGCTGCTTGAACCTCTGAGCAGGAGGAACTGCTGGTAATTGGCTGGGCAATTTAGGAAATGAGGTGCTGCTTTCTGTGGTGTGCATTCCTGCTTGTGTGAATAGGAGAATCTCTGGGTCTCTGCATATTTTTGCATAAAGAGCAGCAGGAGAGGAGCTGCCATTGGTGTTCCTGTTCCGTGCTGATAATGGATTGCTGTGTGTTGTGCCCTCCCTGCTGTTGCTCTGATGTTTCCTTGGCTTTTTAGTCATAATCTTATATAAATACTCCAGGCCAGAAGATAAATAATTTGTGCTCTGTGCATGGGGGAGGCATCTGTGTTTGGGAATTGCTTACCAAGAGCAGGAGAGGGATGTTCCAGACTCACAACAAATGATTTGTGAGCACACACGGATCTGTTGGGCTGATAATTGAGCAGCATGTGCTGACCTGGGCTTTGTGTCTTTGGCTCTGTCCACAGAATTTTATCATCCTCTGCTAACAACCATGTCCTATGAGTTGGGAATTCAAGGCTGTGTAGACACACTGATTCTTTTATACTCTTGCTTAGAGACTTGATGGAGGTTTATCTGTGTTAAAAGCACTAAAATTGCAGTTTTATTAAGAAGCTGATAGTTATCTGCATTGGGCACTAATACTTAGAATTTTTATTTGTAGTCCAATGTCAAAAAGGCTAATGTTAAAATCCTGAAAAATTTTGATGAAGCAATAATTGTAGATGCTGCAAGTCTGGATCCAGAGTCTTTGTATCAACGAACATATGCAGGGTAAGGTTCATTTCAGTGTATTGTTTCCTTTCTGGTTACATGTTTCACCTCTGTTTCATTTTTACTGTGTTCTCCTGCATGGAGAGTAGGCCTAAATGCAAGATCTTAGTCCATGTTTTAATATTTGACAGTAACTTTATTTCAGTAGTGTGATTTAACACCCAGTGACTGTTTCTTTGGCCAGGAAAATATTTCTAATTGTTTTTTCTCTTCCTCTTAGTTATTGTTCTTCTTTGATTCCAAAATGTAGCCAAGCATATAGCCAAATATAGCTTTCCATAATGCCAAAGTTCTTGTGATCACCCATGTGGTTCCTCTCTCCTCAGGAAGATGACATTTGGAAGAGTCAGTGACCTGGGGCAGTTCATCAGAGAATCTGAACCAGAGCCTGATGTCAAAAAATCAAAAGGTTTGCTTTGCTCTTTCTCTCCATTTCTGTAAACATCTACAGAGCTGCTCTCTTCCCTGCTGGAGTTAGCATAGGCAAAGTGTTTGACTCTTTCCAGATCTGCTTTAAGCCAAATAGAGATGCTGTGGGGATTGGCCTGTACTGAGGCAAAACCCATCTCTGGCCCAGTTTCCTACCCAAATTCTGCTTTTCTGGTCCAGCTGGGCTCCAGGAAGGATGAGCAGCCTGTGGGAGTTGGAGCTGTCGATGGAACTGGCAGGGATGGAAGTGTCAGCAGCTGAGCTGGTGATCAAACCTCCAAAGCTTTGGTCTTGAGATGAAAAAGAACTGCAGCTCTCCACATCCTTCCCAGCCAGGCTGAGACCTGCTGCTGCTTTTCAGCTCTGGGAAAGGCTCAGTGTCCAAATGGCTGCAGGCAGTGCCTTGTCTTTGCTGCCACTCCTCCACATGCTGAATGCCAGCAGAGCAAACCCTTCAGAAGGGTGGCAGGAGTCAGCTTTGTGCCTCACTTTGCTCACATACCTTGCTTGCTGTTTTTATCTCAACCAGGGTCCATGTTTTCACAAGCAATGAAGAAATGGGTTCAAGGAAATACAGATGAGGTGTGTCCCCTTTCATGTTCTTCTTGTGACTTCAGAGAAATAAAGTATTGATGTTCTTAATCCTGGCTGTTATCTCTGAGTATCTTTTTGCTGCACTAAGAACAGGGAGAGTGTGTGCTAAATATAATTTGATTGCATGTATGTGTGAAACTAGTTTGCTCTTTGCCAGTGCTTGCTGGTTGAACTAATTAAGTGTGTGCTTGCAGTCAGGGTTTTTCTTATTGTGGTTTTATATATCTATAAGTAGGGGTGGAAGTGCTATTTGATTTTTGGGGTGGAAGTGCTATTTGATTTTTGGGGTGGAGTGACCACTGCACATGGATTCCAGGCTACATTTTTCCCTCTCTGAGGGGCTTGGACAAATCCCCAAGAGATAAATCTAAAATCTCCACTAACTCTCTTGGAAATTGCATCAAGCCTGAAGTACAGTAATTGAATTAACACTGTACTTGGACACCAGATGCATTTCCATTGAGGGAGGAGTTGTTTATGCAGGTTATGGAGTTGTGAAGGTTACCCTGACTCCAAGGCTGTGCTGAGACCACTGTGTTTTTCTTTTAAGGACCTGAAGCTATCTGTGTTTTGGGCTGTTTTTCAGGCTCAAGAAGAGATGGCTTGGAGGATAGCAAAGATGATTGTCAACGACGTCATGCAGCAGGCGCAGTGTGAGCAGCCTTTGGACAAGGTCACCAAGGTAGGGGGTGGAAAGGCTGCTGCCTTCATCTGGCTCCAGCCAGGCTGTGGGAAGAGCAGAGCTCCTACTTGCCTTCCTCCTGTGGCTGAAACCCACGCTGGAAAATGTTCAAACCAGCAGAGCATGAGAGGAAGAAGCAAAGGTTGGAAGTGCTTCGGCCTACGTGTGACGTAGGAGTTTCTTTACAGATGCCTGTGCTGGTTCTCCTGTGCAAGCATTAAACTTGTCTTAGTTTGAGTCTACAAACTGCCCAATTAGTTAAAAGGGTGATCTGTGCTGCAGGATGAAGTGTAATTCCTGACTTGAGCTCACACTTGCTGTGTCCTCTGTCAGTAGTGGCATTTCTGCTTGAAGTGTCAGTAAAGCTCAGCAGTGTGAATTTGGCTCATGGGGTGCTCTCATTTGCACAGTTCTGTCTCCAGACTTTAAAAAGACACAGTAACCTGTCCATAGGTTTGTGTGTTGTTGCCTAGTGGCTGTGTTGTTGTTCTCTGTGTAAAAACCCCCAGTTCTGAGGCAGCAGTTGGATTTTGTGAAATATTGGTGACAGCAGGTTACCAAGCTAATGTCTGGTACTTCTGACTTTCAGGCATGTGAGTTTGTAAAAAAAATAACTTGCATTATGTTCAGTTATTGAAAGTAAATGTGTGCCAAAGCCCAGTTTTTGGATCCAAATGGGTGGATCCATAGTTTCACTGTGGGAGTGGTTTCTTTCTAATAGAGCAGTAACATTTAAGTGACTTGTATAATAACTTCACTTAATAGCTTGGCTGCAAATGATACAATTCCAGTCTGCCTGGAAGAAAAGGTCACTCAGCACAGTATTTAGAAATCTCAAATGACTGCAGATGCTCTGGATTCAATTAAGCAAGTAATCAAAAGGTTGAGTGTGTTTGGATTAGGTTTGGGGCTTTTTTCTCCCCCAAACTCAAACAAACCTGGCTTCAACACAAAATGTCTTTCTATTGAACAGTTACCTTGCATGTTTTAGGGTAAAATTAACTGTTTTTCCCCTTTTCAGCTATGATTTTAGAAACTCCAGGACAGGAAATCTGGTTTTCCACTTTGAGAAGGAGTGAACTTTCCCTATTGGTGGATTCTTTAACACAGCCAATAAAAACAAAGCACTGTTACTCCAACCACTGGAATCCCCCTCATTTCCAAGGAAGAATGGAAAAGAAGCAATCGTGGACCTCCACTGTAGAGAGTGAAGAAACACTTCTGCCTGGTGTATGTGGCATTCACAGTAATGATGGTTCTGAGATGAAGATGCAGTTTACAAATGACAAACTGTGATTGACTTCACAAATACTTGACCCAGTCTCAAAAAAAAAAAAAGACTTTCAAGCAAAATATCTGCAATGGGACATAGAGGCCACAACAGAGGGGAAGGTTTTGCTGTAGTTTCTGGTTCTACTGCTTGTAATTTTTAAACACAGAATTGGAAGGGCTGTGGGGCAAATCCCTTGGCAGTGAATGACCTGGGACGTTCAAAGTTTAATTTTCCGTTACTTGAAATAGATGAGTATTCAACTGTAAGATAAATGTATTTTACTTCATAACTGCATTAACTCTGAAGGCAGTGTAGAAGGGTCAGGAACTCGTCCCTGCTGAGCTCCTACACCTGCACACACACACACATCTCCCTGCTTCCACCCCGGGGCAGATCCAAGGCTGGTCCTGCAGCCCCTCTGCTCCCACCTTGGACCCTGCAGACTGCTCCACTTCCTGTCCTCACCCTCCCACGAGCAAGGAAAAAAGGAATTGCTGCCATTCTCCATCGCTTGTTGTCCTCCACCCAACGTAGGATCTAATTCCAGATGTTTGGTTTACAAAGAAAAACAGTTTTTAATGACCTTTGGCCTTCTTCCTGACACTCAACACTTACCATGTTACACAGCACCTCTTTTTCTTTCCCCAGCAAATCAATTTTGCAGGGTAGCAGAAGTACTCAGTGTCTCACTGTTATGTTACTGCTGCATTTTTAGTATACAACACTTTCGTTTTGGGTCTTTTTTTTTTTTTTTTTACTCTAATGATTGCTTTTCTCCTCAAACTTGTGCAACAAATCACGATGCGAAGAACTCAAATCATTTCCAATGTTCAGAATATCTTGATTGACTAGAAAGTGTTATTCTGTTGCAATATTTGATTGTATAGAGACACTGTATTGTTATGAAAAAGCAAAAAAGGCTGTGTATAGGTTTTTGGTACTATGTACCACCTCTTATTTCTCTCATACCCAAGCATTCATGTACTTAAAACATACTATATTTAATTGTGTTTTGATTTAAAATATATAAATATTAAAATTTGTGTCGATTTTCTGTTTTCATGGGGTTTGAAATTACATAGGATAGGTTTTTTAATGTGAGTTTTAGGGGTAATTTTGCCCATGTTTCTTAATTTATTATGTTAATGGCAGTGTGGTGAATAAGATTAATTCTTGAAGTTGTTCAGTCGCAGGACTTGGCAGAAGTTGGGCTGGGAAAGATGTAAAGGGGCAGGGGTTGGTCCTGAAGTATTGAACCACGCTGAACTCTGACGTGTTTTAGTGCACCCCTGCCTCAGTTTCCCCCGTGGGCAGCAGGGGGGAAAATCCTGGGCATGTTCAGGGATTACAACTCCCACATTTGGGTATGGATATTGCTCAGAGCTGCGTTTCCTTAAACTACGGGCCGGATTGAGCGTGAGAGGCTCGGCCCACGTTGGGTCGTTTTGGACCCGCGGGAGTTGTCCCTGGGCAGCCTCGAACCCGCGGCCCCGGGGCGAGCGCTGCGCTCCCCGCCGGCCGCCAGGGGGCAGCAGCGCCGCGCTCGGGCGCCCCCCGCGCGCTTCCGGCCCACGTGGGGCACGCGCGCACATGGCCGCGGTGAGCGGGACCGGCACCGGGGGCACCGGCACCGGGGTGAGCGGCACCGGGATGGGCAGCACCGGAAAGCTGCAGGGGTGGGAGTGTTGCGGCGCTGCGGGGTCTCCTCGCCCTCTGCTGGGGTTCCCCCGCGCGGCTCCTGCTCGGTGCGGGGTGTTTCTCCCTCCCTCGGCCCTACGCGGGTCCCCCTGCGGAGGTTCCTCCTCCCCCGGCGGTGTCGCTGCCGGGGCGGGGGGCTGTGCCCGCTGCCCGGTGGGATTCCCGCTGCTGAGCCCGCTGTCCCGCAGAACATGTCGCCGGACGAGGAGGATGTGCAGCGGCTCCTGATCCAGTTCCGCGATGAGGCAGGGGAGTGCCTGGGCTCGCCCTTCGACGTCCCGGTCACCATCACTCCGGACAAGCTGCAGCTGGTTTGCAACGCCCTCCTGCAGAAGGTGAGACCCTTCCCGAGCTCCCCGGCACCCCCAGCCCGCCCCTCGCTGCCTCACCTGCCCTTCCTCCCGCAGGATGAGCCGCTGCCTCTCGCCTTCTTCATCCACGATGCCGAGATCGTGGCGTCGCTGGAGAAGACCCTGGCAGGGCAGAGCGTGGAGACAGAGAAGGTTCTGGACATCATCTACCAGCCGCAGGCGGTGTTCAGGGTGCGGGCGGTGACGCGCTGCACCAGCTCCCTGGAGGGACACACCGAGGCTGTCATCTCCGTGGCTTTCAGCCCCACGGGAAAGTACGAGGCTGTGGCTGCAGGCAGGGATCGGGGCAAGGCGGCAGCTGCCGCGGTCCTGCCCTGGGGACACCGTGCTGAGCTGTTCCCCCTCTCCCAGGTACCTGGCGAGCGGCTCTGGGGACACCACTGTCCGCTTCTGGGACCTCAGCACAGAAACACCACAGTTCACAGCCAAAGGTGGGTGCTGGGGAGTGCCAGGGGGACAGGACAGCCTGTGACCCCATCCCTCACGGACCCCATGAGTGCCTGGGGGACGAGCAGAGCAGAGCCTGTCTGAGCTGTCCAGGCTGGGGCTGCAGCCTGGAGAAGGAGTGGCTCTCTTTGGCAGAGTGGAAAAAGAGGGGCTGGCCAGGAGGAACACAGAGTGGCTCCTGCTGGGACACGGGGACAGTCCCAGCTCTCCATCACACCCACTTGTGCTCTCTCTGCCAGGTCACCGGCACTGGGTGCTCAGCATTGCTTGGTCACCTGATGGCAAGAAACTGGCCTCGGGCTGCAAGAACGGCCAGGTACACCTGGGGCGGAGAGGATTAGGGGTTTTCTTGTTTCTTCAGGTACACCTGGGCTCCCTCAGTGTGGGGCTGGGGGGATTAGGGGTTTTCTTGTTTCTTCAGGTACACCTGGGCTCCCTCAGCATGGGGCGGGGGGCATTAGGGGTTTTCTTGCTTCTTCAGGGGTGTCAGGGGGCTATCCCATTTTTCAGAGCAGGATTCCATTCCCCAGAGGAGCTTTGTGTGTGGCTGTGTCACAGCAGTGTGAGAAGCCTCTCTGTGCCAGGCAGTGCTGTGGCATTGTCACCTCGGGGAGCTCTTGCTGCTGAGTCCTGCTGTGCAGATGCTTTTCCCTCTGTCCAGGAAAGAGTCCAGGCTCTGGATGTGGTTGTTGGCAGGCGACTCCATCACGAGGGAGGTGTCTGGAGTGGGGATGGGTCAGGGCTGCTCTAAGCGTGATCCAGCCGTGCAGCAGCAGCCTGCTCACTGTGTTCCCACACAGACACAGCCAAATTCCCTCTTGCACAACTATGAAAGGAGTTCAGCCCTCGCTGTGGGGCAAAATTGGTGTGCTTGAAGTGCAGAAATGCCTGGGGAAGCAGGAGTGTGTGGTTAAATGGGAGCTGAGCTCCTGAGGGGCAGTCGCTGTCTCTGACCTTTGAATGGTCTGGAGCAATGACAGCACTCACAGAGCTGCCCAAGCTGTGATGCCAATCCCAAGGAAGTGTCCTGGGCCAGGGTGGTTCAGCCATGGTTTGGTGCTGGACTGCCTTTAATTGAACCCAGAGAGCTGCTTGTCCTCTTTTTCCCTATTTCTCCTAGGTTCTTAAGTAGGGGATGACTAATGCCTTGGCTCTCAAGATGAACATTTATGTAGAGAGAGAATCAACAAGAGAAAACCAGCATGTGTCCCACCCACAGCATCCGATAATCAGCAGCGTTTAGCTGTGGCTTTCACTGTGCTCTGCAAACACTCCCTGAGTTCCTGGCACAGGGTGGCTTTTTGGGGACCTGTATCCTTTTTGAGTTGAGGCAGATAACTGCAGCAGCAGCGTTGTAGGCAGACAGGAGGGCAATCAGGTCTCATTCTTTTGGGTGTCAGCTGATTGCTGCAGGGATTTGGAAAGGCATCCAGCCCCCTTCCCCTGCTGCTGCAAACATGATCCCAAGGACACCTCTGCTTTCTAAATGGAGCTCCAACGTCTGTGGGATTCACATGATGTCTGTGGCCTGACGTGACCCTCATGCTTTCTCTCTTGGACAGATCTTTCTCTGGGACCCAGCCACTGGCAGCCAGGTCAGCCGGGTGCTCTCTGGCCACTCCAAATGGATCACATGTCTGTGCTGGGAACCCCTCCACATGTAAGTTTAGGGGCCAGCTCAGCCCTTCCCTTTGCTCCTGTGGAAAAGAGCAGCCTGACCTGAAGGGCATTGCTCCTGTTTGCCTTTCTCCTGTTACAGGACAAAGCCCGTGTAGAACAGCTCTCAAGGTGAGCTGGGAAAAATGAGTGCAGCTGGGAGCCAGGAGTCCCAGCTGCTGCTCACAGCCCCTGTGAGTCCCTGGGGAATCACTGCCAGGCTGTGTCTCTTTTCCCCTGGGAAAAAGATACACCTGCCTGTGGAAAACACTGCTTTTGTGGTGCTGGACACACACTGATGGGCTCCAGCAATGCTGAGGTGGGAGCAGGGAAGCCTGGTGGTGTCCAAGGGCAGAGCACTCCTTTCTGCTGTCCTGATCCTGCTGGCCTCTGTCATCCTGTTTATCAGCAGGGATGATTAACTGTACAATCCCCTTATCCCTTTGATCAGCTAAAGCTCCCTCTGGGAGAGGTGGGTGGAAGGGGACAGTTGTAGCCATTAATCCAAGATGTTACAGAAATAAATAAAAAAGAAAGAAAAAGGGCCCCTTCAGAGCAGAGCCCTGCAAATTGAATTTGCCAGTAGGAAGCTCCAGCTATTTGCAGACAATTAACTGGATTAGCAAAAAAAATTATTGTAAGGAAGATGAGGAAATGGGGAGGAGAGACATGACCCTGCCAGGGCTGCAGTTCTCTTTTTTCAGCCAGTTCCAGTGCCATGGGAGGGGCTGTGCTCTTGCTCACTGCTGGTGCCACCAGCAGAGTGATAAAGATGTGCAGAGGACACAGGGTTGTGGCTGCCCTGTCCTTGCTGGGCTGTGGCCAGCTGCTTCCAGATGTGTTCAATTTGCCCCCTGAGCCACAATGGATGTGGATGGACAGTGTTCCTGTCAGCACAACAGCACTCTGTCCACAGGCTGGAGATGAAGCATGGCAAAGGCAGGGGAACATCCAACACATTCCCTGTGCCATGGATCTGTGCTCCCTGTGTGAGGCTGATCCCCTGTCCAGGGCTTTCTCCAGCCTGTGCCAGGGAAGGTGCCAGTTTGTGGTGACCTTGTTAGCCAGTGGGTTAAAGCTGTGCAAGCAAGGTCATTACCAAGGCCTCAGCTTGGTTTTACCCTGGATTGATTTCTCCAATGTGCAGCCCAGGAGTTGGTTTGGAGGAGGCATTTGTCTGCCTCTCCCCTGCCTTGTGAGACCTTGTTCTCTGTACGTCAGTGCTCTGCCCATCTGGCCTCTCTCTGACCTTCAGGCAGAAGAAAGTTGTATTTTATTGCCTGCTGGACCCTTGAATCCTCTGGGGCTGGTGGGGAAGGAGCTCAGGGCAGCTGCACAAATGGATTTGATCTCTTTGCCCAGAAACCCCGAGTGCCGTTACCTGGCCAGTGCCTCCAAGGACTGCAGCATCCGCATCTGGGACACTCTGATGGGCAGGTGTGACAAAATCCTCACAAGCCACACGCAGTCAGTGACCTGTGTGAAGTGGGGGGGCGATGGCTTGCTCTACTCCTCCTCCCAGGACAGGACCATCAAAGTCTGGAGGAGCCAGGATGTAAGTGAGGGACTGCCCTTGGGCTGCTGGCAGAGGGGGCTGGGCACACTGTGGGGTAGCTTTGTCTGCTCTTCCTGGCACAGCTTGTGCCCTGGAAAACAGAGCTGCTGTATCTTCCTGACCTGTCAGACCTGTTGCTTGGCACCATTTGCAAGGGGTATCTGTTGTGTGATGTTTTCATCCTTAAGAGCATTAAACGGGGCTAAAAGCTGGAAACATCCCTGCAGCAACCTGAGCTGATGGGTGTTGTGCAAGGGAAGCTGATTCCTGAACTCAACAGCGTTGTGCCTTCCCTGCTTACTTAGCCTGCCTGCAGCTGGGACAAGCAGGTTTGGAAAGTTTGGGCTGTGTCCTGTCCCTGTCTGAGGGTGGCTTTGTCCCCAGGGGGTCCTGTGCCGCACGCTGCAGGGCCATGCTCACTGGGTGAACACCATGGCCCTGAGCACCGACTACGTCCTGCGCACCGGCGCCTTCGAGCCGGCCGAGGCCACCATCAACCCCCAGGATGTCAGAGGCTCCCGTGAGTGCAGCACCCACCTTGGAGGGGGAGGACTGGTCATGCTGGAAATCAAGATTTTTCATGCCCATGCCAGGGTGGAGCAGTCTGGGGGATGGGGAGGTCACTGTTTTCCAGGGCTTTTGTTCCCAAATTGTCTTTGGCAAATTGAGTGGTCAATGCTAAACCTACAGAGCCAGGATTGGAATTGGCATGACAAGGTTATAAAATTTCTTTTCATCTAAGAATTGCCAATCTCTGTTTCACCCTCCTTTTCCCTTTTTCAGTGTCAGAACTGAAAGACAGGGCACTGCAGAGGTACAACCAAGTCCGGGTAAGGTCCTTTTGTCCCTGCTGTCACTTTTGTCCCTGCTGTAACACTGTCATTGGTGAAAGCAGTGGATACCATAACACTGGTGTGCTTCCAAGCTCTCCACACCTGACTTCTACAAAACTTGGGCTCTTTCATCCCTTTTTCAGGGCCCGGAACCAGAAAGGCTCGTCTCAGGGTCAGATGATTTCACCCTGTTTCTCTGGAGACCAGCAGAAGACAAGAAGCCACTGGAGAGAATGACAGGCCACCAGGCATTGATTAACCAAGTCGTGTTCTCTCCAGACACGCGGATAATCGCTAGTGCTTCCTTTGACAAGTCCATAAAGCTCTGGGATGGTAGGACAGGAAAGTGAGTTGGTTTGTTCTGTTAGAGGTGGTGCTGGTATGGAGTCTGTGTGTAATGCTCAGGGCACACAGGGCCCCCCAGGTCATTGCCAGCAGCTTCCTGCCATGTTCAGCATCTCTAGCTTCAGCTCATACAAAGTCACTCTGCTGCCTCTGCTTTTTTGTGCCCTTGGGAAGTCTCTTGTCTGGCTTTTCTTGTGTCAGGGTGTCTGTGCTTGGCTCTGTGTGTGCAGCCCCACTGTGACTCAGCCCCAGCACTGCCTGGCACCTGTTTGCACACCCTGTTGCTGCAGAGTCGGTTCTCCGGGGCAGGCGCAGCTGTGGTGGGATGGGATGTTCCACTCCAGTGATCTCCTGAAGATGTGTGTGTTGGGAACTGGAGACTGACCCAGTTTAAACAGTTCTTGTGCCAGAGAACAGCTTGTTCTGGATGATGCAAATTCTTGTAGTTACAAGTAGTGCTGTTGGTATTTGGATGCTCCTGTAATCCAGCTTTTAACTTTCAGCTCCAGTACTGGTGAGCTCTTGGAGGCAGCACTCCTCCCTTGCAAACCAACCTTAACGCTCATGAGCTTGGCTTTCATGTCAGCAATTTCAAAGGTCCTTCTAAATCTGGGCTGCTCAGCCAGAGAGGGAAGGACACACCTGTGCAGTGAGGCTGAAGTGTTGCCTGCTGGATAAGGGGGTGAGATGAGGAGGCATCCTCTAGAAGGTTCTGAGCCCACTTGGGAGAGTTTTTGATGGACTCTGTCTAGCAATTCAGTGCCTGGAGCATGCTGGGCATCCTGTGACTGCTGGTGGAGAAGAAGCATGAAGACAAGGGCAAGTTTGGAACAAAGCCTGCTGCTCTGACAGCCTGTCCTTGTCCCCAGGTACCTGACATCACTGAGGGGCCACGTCTCAGCCGTGTACCAGATCGCCTGGTCGGCCGACAGCCGCTTGCTGGTGAGCGGCAGCAGCGACAGCACCCTCAAGGTCTGGGATGCCAAGACAAAGAAACTGGCCATCGATCTGCCCGGCCACGCGGATGAGGTGAGCTGCCTGGGGGAGCCGAGGTGTTTGGGAGGCAGGAGTGAGCCCTCCTCCCAGCACAGGTGACTGATTTCCATCACACCAGGTGTATGCGGTGGATTGGAGCCCGGACGGACAGAGGGTGGCGAGCGGAGGGAAGGACAAGTGTTTGCGGATGTGAGTAACCTGTTTGTCCACGAGGGCTGCAGCTCTCCGGGTGTCCCTCAGAGCCACAGTGCCCTTGCAGAGACCTGCGTGGTTAGGGCATGATCTCTTGCAGAGAGCACTGTGTCAGATCCCAGCTGGGACACCTGACCTCTCTCAGGGCTGGTTGATAACTAGAAAGCAGAGCCCCTCCAGCTGAGCAGTCAGGATGAAATTTGACTCAGATATTTTGACTCCTGGAGAGGGAAAGGAACAGTTGCACCAGTTGGTCAGGTCTTCATTTCTGACCTTTTTCCCTCTCCCAATTATGCAGACAAATTCCTGGGAGCTGGTTGCCATTTGCCTGTGGCTGGTGACCCCAGGTCCCTGCAGTGCTGCTGGTGCCTGCTGGGCCCTGTGGCGGAGCTGTGCCCCTCCACAGGGACACAGCAGCTCTTTCCCTTTCCAGATGGCGTCGATAGGAACAGGACATGGAGCTGCTGGTCCTGCCCTCAGCACAGTCCTGGGAGATCTCCAAGGTGATGGACGAAGGGACTGACCCAAACACAGCTCCGTGTTCCCGTTGGCAACTCTCCCTCGTGGACTCTTTCCTTATATTTATTTAAGGAAATTTTAATTTTAGTTCTTAATAAGAGCTGTGCTTTGCAGGATGATTTCCTCTGAACATCACAGGAGGGATATCTCATCTGCCTCCATCTCAACTGGCTTTTTATTGGAATTTCAGCCTCACAGTAGCCACTGTCCTGAAAGGGGCAAGCAAAGGGCGGAGACTGCTCGTGCCCTTTCTTGCTCTGTGAAGAATCCTGTGGGGAAGAGGGTTTTAGTAGGAACAGAGAGGGTTGTCCTTGTGTGGCCTTCAGAGAGAGAGAAAAATGGGGAAAATTCAGCACATTATTCCACTGCAGAATTGTGCCTGGCTGCATGTCTGGGACAAAGATCTGCTGAGAATGAGGACTTGGGGCTTCTTGTTATTCCAGTAAGGTTTTGCCTTTCCACACAGCCCCATTTCCCCATGGGCTGAGCATTATCTGCCAGTGATCCCCTGCATCCACAGCAGTTAACTCCTTGGCTAATCTGTTCAGGGTGCAACAGGCCTGGACTTCAAATGACTGCTGCAGCTGTGCTGAGTTTTCAGGTTTTAGCAGCTCTTGGGAATGGGAAAATGAGACTGAACAGGGGAGAGAGTGTCTTTCCCATCCACACTGGCTTGGGGGAAGGAAGGATAGGGTGGGGAAGAATGGAGCAGGAATTCTGTGTGGCACTTGTCCCTTGCCCTGGATACGTGCTGACAGCAGGGCTGGGACCCACACAGAAAATAGCAATACTTCCATTGCACAGGGCTGGCTCCTTCTGGAATTTCTCAAGTGCATTTACTTGCCCAGTGGGTGAGAGGGATTCACACTGTCAGCTGGGTAAGTTTGCTTATGAGCCTTTTTATCAGTCAGTTCAGGCTTCCAGCCATCATGAGGTGAATAGACCTGGACTAAGTGTTTATTTCCAGGATGCTTATGAAACAGAAAATAAAAGATGTGATTAATAAGGAGCAGAAATTACACTGTCAGATTTAGTTGCAGTAGGTTAGCATGAAGGTCAAAACATTTTCATAGCCCTCATATGCAGTGATTACTACAACTCAGAACAGGAGTTTGGGTCTCAGATACTTCCCAGCTGCAGAAGATGCATTTTAGGACTTTATCCCTGCTGGCAGGATTGCTTTGGAGAATTAAGATTGTGCAGTAATGGCCTTTTGCTTGTCTACAAGTGTTCAGGTGAGCCCAAGGCTGGAACTAAGGGTTAAATCTTTAATATGACTGAGAAAACAATTTGTAGTTCCTGTATCTCCTGCCAGCCACGTCAGCAGGGATCTATCTCTGGGATCTTTTGGGAAGAGCTCAGTACCCATACCTGCTCTTTCATTAGGGTGCTTCCTGCAGCTGGTTCCTGCTGACAGCAAAGGCCAGGTTGCATCCATCTGCATAAACAAAACCTTTTGTAACTCACTGAGGTAAATGTGGGACAGGGTGCTTTAAAACCAGCTGGTAAGTCTGCCCTTGGGGAGAAGAGGTGCAGGTCACTGGTAGGAGCCAAGAAGCCTGCCTAGTTTCCAAGTTTTTTGGGGTGCTTGTGCTAAAGAGAATCACCCACCCTTGGGAGTTCAGCTCTGTCCCCAAGTTGGACTTGCTGCAAGCAGCAGCTCCTGGTTGCAAGTGGCTCTTCCTGAGTGAGGAATCATTCTCTGCTTCCTCCCCTGGAGAGCTGCTCAGGGTCACTGTGCCCTGTCAGTCCATGGTGTGTTTTGTGTTGGAGGCAGGGATGTATCAGAGCTCAGAGACATGATCCTGCTGTGGGAACTGGGCTTGGCTGTGCATGTGTGTAGGTGTACCTAAAATATCAGTGTACCTTGCCCACTGATTTCCAAACCAAAGCAGTCACTGTGCCCTTTGACCATGCTCTTGCCATCCCTTCAGACTCTGCTTCTGTGACATAAAGCCTGATTAAAACTCACCTTTCTAATGCCGGAGCAGAAAGGTTTTCTAAGGGGAAGGGGGACCTCTTGAAGAAAGAGAGGGCCTTGCAACTAAGTGTTAAGCTCTTGGCCTTAATCTTCCTGTGATCTGATAGCAGGTAGATTTTTGAACCATGCTCTGTGATAGCTTTGCATGTAAACCAAATGGTATTTTCTTATCTAAGCATCTGCTGCTATTTTTACCATTCATACAGCACCAGCCTCCATGCATACTAAGAGCTGGCCCAGCTCCAGCTGTATTCCCAAGCAATTCCCTGACACTCCTCCCTCCCAGTTTGATTTGAATGCGGCATTTCCCGGGCCTGGCTGCAGGCAGTGCTGCTCAGGCACTGGGGAAGGAAGGAAGAGCTGCTGCCCTTCCCTCCAGAGCTGCCTCCTGCTTGGCAGGAGCCGCAGGAACGCGTGACCTCCACGCTGGGGATGGGAGCTTTAATTAGCTCATTTGGGCAATTGCAGATGCAAATTGGGGTTGGTGGCGTTTATTAATGGGGGAGATGTTACTTTGTGTTAAAGGACAAATCTAGGAGGTGGGCTGGAGGTTTGTGATAGGTGTTCTGGAAAACCTACTGAAATGCCTGAGCTTTCCCAGTGCTGCTTGATAGGAATCCTGGGATCTGCTTCCATGTTTCAGTCCAGTTCCTCCTGAGTTACTCATTAAGCATCCCACACAGGTTTTCTTACCACAAGGGTGTTATTTTTTACTGGTAATACAAGAATAATTTTAAGCATAGCCAGAAACTGTCCTGCAGAGCCCTCTGACACTTTCTCCTTTAAAAGCTCAGCTGGTGCCACCATCAATTTTGTTACAAATCCCAATGGGAGGACAGTAGTGATAAGGACTGGGAAGTGTGCCAGTCCTCTGAGGAAGGTTTACCTGTCTAATGAAATCCTGAGTGTGATGGAGGGAGGAAAGGAAGGATATGGAAGGATATTAGAACACCTGGAGTGAAGTTGATAGCTCTGAGGTGAGCAGGATGCTGTCAGACTCCTACCTTTGGGAACTGATTCAGATAAATGAGGCCTTAAAATCCATGTGAAAACTCTTACTTGGGGCTGTGTCCTGCTTATCCATGCAAGTGGAGTGTGTGTTGTGTTCCCTGGGTCCTTGGAGCCACATGTTCCTGTCCTGTTTGACTCAGATGATCTCTTGAATATTTTCCCAGATCTGTAATTTCATTTCCATGTGCAAGTTTATAGCCTGGGGAGAGACAGAGACAAGAAAAATTTTTCAATGAATAGGAAGAAAATGAACTTCATTCATTGTTCTGCATGAAAAGTAGGAAAAGCAGCCTTGTTCTGCTTTTTTTCTGGGTCAGCCCAGGCGTTACTCCGGTGATGTTTCTACCTCAGGGCTGCATTTTGGTGGTGTGGTATGGCAGAGAAGGGCTTGCTGTAAGTCCATTAGTGCTTTTGAGGATGAAAGGTGTTAAAAAACCTCAAGGCAGTGATGTCTGTGTTCTGTGGAGCTGCTGCCAGATGAAAGCATCCTTCTCTGCACTCAGACAAGCAACCTGGAATTTGCTAATTCCTTCCCAGATGTGTTGCTCTTGTGATCACAAGTCCTGGCTTACAACTGAGGGACTAATTTGAAGCAAGGTAGTGCAGCTGGGAAGGAGCCCCAGAGCCATCTCCAGTACTGCTGTTCTGTTTTCTTCCCTCTGTGAATGGTGGGTGCAGAACTGTGGGTTGCTGGTGGTCTCTCCTGCAGAGCATGATGTTAAAAATGAACCAACTCAGGACACAGTGCTCCGTGTTTTTGAAGGATCACCGGGGTGGATCAGGCAGCTGCACTGGGTGTTTTAGTGCCCTGCTGCATGGTTAGAGCAGAGCACCTCCAGGTAGTGCAGGCTAAATGCTGGATATCCGTGTGTGTGAGCAGCACGAGCTCCATGGGGTTGGATAACATCCAATCCTGCATCTCTCCCAACATCTCCAGCAACGAGGCTCCCTTTGGGAAAGATGAATCCAGTCCGTTCTGCCTCAGAACTCTTCCAGCATCCCAAGCAAGTCAGGGCGCTGTCTGTAGGCTCTGTAGTGCTGATGCTGGAGTTCCCGACGCCCAGAGAAGCTCCCGCAGCCGCCCTCAAGGCCCCAGCTGGGAGGAGTGACCCGCATGCAAATCCCGCAGCCTCCGGCGAGCCCTCGGGTGCCGCTCGGGTCCCGCAGGGTGTTTAGTTATTCCGGTCAAACCTCACTGCCGCTGCCGCCTGTTTGTCCTTGCTGTGCTGAAACAAACCTGCTCCGGGGCTCCAGCCCCGTTAGGAGGACAAAAGGACGTGAGGCAGTGCGGCTGCCCAAGGGAAACAAGGGAAACGTGTCGCGAAATGTGTTTGCAAGTGGGATGCAGGATGGGTGGCTTGGTCATGGCTGTTGTGACTTTTATCTGCTCAAAAGGCATCTTCGGAATGAATTTGGTTTTTCAGCTTCCCTAAAATGTAGCTGGTGACATTGATTTTGGGGTGAGGATACACGCTGATGCTGGGAGGATTAATACTGAAGTGAGAATTGGTGGATGGCAATAAACAACCAGTTCTGAGGGAAATTATTTTTATGAATCAGAATATTTAACACATGGAGGCTTGTGGGCTTTTTCCTGGTTTAAAGGGACACTGTGAAGCGTATCACAAAGTGTCTGTTACTACCAACACTTTAATTTATGATTAACTTGGAATATTTTTACATCTCATTTATTCTTTCCACAGGGGTGTTCTGAGCTGTTGAAATTATTGGCCAACTCCACTTTCTCGTTGTTTGTTAGGTTAGTGCCATGGGAGGATTTTGGATGGGAGCTCAAAACTTCACCAAATAAAGGGGGGATTCAGTTTTGAGGGGATTTTAAGCCCTTTGGTTCTCTTTGGCACAAAACTGATTTCTCAGGATTGCTCTGATAGCTCAAAATGTCATTCATAAAGCTGTCAATCTTTCCTTAAGACTCTCTTGCTGGATATTTTTTACATCTAATTTCATTGTCTGTGGAGAAGCCTTTAGCTGAGGAGGTCCTGACATGGCACACCGCTCCTGGTTTGGAGTGTTGGAAAGCCAAGGGAGGTAAGCGAGGAATGGGGAGAGGCCCAGCTGCAGAGCTCCTTGCTCAGTCTCTATTTTGATCTGGTGACACTGAAAGCAGAGCCTGGGTCACAGCAGGGCTGAGTGGGGTCAGAGGGGTCACACCCTGCATCCCCTGGGGATACTGGGGGAGCCTGGAAGGGTCTGGAACTGGGTGTGGAGGTGGTGTGATGGAGAACATGGAAGAGAGCAGTGAGGAATGGAACACAGAGGAAAGGAGCATAATTATGTGAACCTGGAGGTGAAGGTCAAAGGCTCCATGTGACTGTTTGGTGGCTGGTTGGGTTTTTTTTTAATGTTTGTACGTGCTGTAAACAGCCCCAGGCTGATCTAAAAATGCTGGGAGGCAGGGGCTGTGCATTACAGGCGTTGTTCTCCTTATAAAGGGAGCAAACAACTCGAAATGTCTTTGGCTCCCAGCACTTTGGATGCCTGCTCCTCCACTGCCTCTCCATTCATTGAAATTCCTTGTTTCAGGTTTGAGGGAGAGTCTTGCTCGCTACTGGAGCGGGGACAGGGCTGAGAGTGTGTCACCTGGAGGTGCTATGTAACCAGTGCCACTGCCTTAGAAACCTGGGATGATCCAGTACCTGACTGTCCCAGCTCTTGTCCTGTGCTGCTCCGGTCCTCTCCCTTCCCCTGGTGGCCCCTCAGCGTTGTCCTCGCTGGCGGGTGCGCCTGAGGCGGCCGGGGAAGGGCTGAGGTGATGGCCGGGAGTGAGGGCTGAGGTTGGCCCCTCTGCCCGGGCGTGAGGGCAAGGGCGGGCCCAGGGTCACCGTCCTCACTGAGAGGACGACCAGACGGGTCCCCCGGAGCCCTGGCGGGAGGGGTGGGGGCCGGGGCGGGCTCGGCGGGGTCCCCGCAGGGCTCGGGGCACTGGCCCCGCTCTGAGGCGCTGGCGGCGGAGGCACCGCGGGTTACGCGGGGTGAGGCACTCTTTGGCCGCCGGCGGAAGCACCCGAGCGGCCGGGCCTGCGCACTGCGGCCTATAAGAGCCGCGGGGCGGTGCAGAGGGCCGGGCAGTCTCAGCCAGGGTTGGCTGAGTGCGGATCTCTGTGGAGGAAGTGGTGGAGCGGCAGGAGCCCCGGGAGGCGCTGGCGGCCTGAGAGACCCCCGTCCGCACCCTCACTGCTTCCTCCCTTCTCGCGAGGGCTGCGGCGGCGACAGCGACAGCCATCCCCGGAGCCGTGGGCCGCGCCTCCCCCCGCTTCGCTGGATGCTCTGGGGTTCGGTCCCTGAGCGGGGCCGCGGCGCTGGCAGCCCCCGCTGTGGCGGGGCCATGGGGCCGGGCAGCGGCAGGGCACGAAGCTCCCTTCCCCGCTGAGGAGGCCCCTCGTCCCGGCGCCGATGCCGCGCTGTCCCCTCACACCCGACCCCTGAGATTCCCCTCGTTCCGCTCCCCATGCCCGACGGAGCCCCTCGCCTCGGTGACGCCCTGCAGCAGCCCCGCCGGCCCGGGGGTCTGCGGCGCTATGAGAGGAGCTGCCCCCGCCGCCGGGGGCAGCCAGGACCGGGGCAGGCTCCCACCCCGCCGCCGGCTGCCGTGAGGCGGCTGTAGCTGGAGGAAGAGCCCCTTTGTTTTCCCTCCGTCCTTCCCGGGGGCTTCATGCCCCGCTGAGGGATGATGGAGGTGGTGGGGGACTTTGAGTACAGCAAGAAGGACCTGATAGGACACGGAGCCTTTGCTGTGGTCTTCAAAGGTCGCCACCGCAAGGTAAACAGCGGCGGAGCGGGGCTGGTTACACAACCCGGGGCCCACAGGAGCCCCTCGGGTGGGTGACAGCCGCGGTGGTGGCGGGGGGGCTGTGTCCTCTGCGGAGTTTTGACGTGGTTTGGGTGTTCGGGGAGAAAAAAGGAGCCGAAGGGAGGTGCGGGCTGGGCTGAGGCCCGCGGCCCTGAGCCGGGATGCGGCCCCGGCATCTATAAAACCTTCATTTTTTCCTTTCCCTCAGCCCCACCGGCCTGGCCGCGGTCCCGCCGCTGCTCCTCTCTCCCTGCCACAGCGGCGAGGGGAGAGTTGCAGCTGTAGGGGAGGCTGAGCCCTTTGTTTGTCGGGAGGGTCATGTTTATCTCGCTGGATAACGAGGGATCTAATGGAAAATTGTCTCCTTTGGGATTGGCTGAATATTTCTTAAAATTCAGAGGTGTCTGGTTTCCTGGCGTGACTTGCTCATCGCCCCGGATATTCATAGTTACGTTATGGTTTCTTGGTGCTGTGAGTTTATTCTGGTGCCTAAAGAGATTTGGTTTCCAGAAAACAGCCCTTGAGATTTAGCATTTTGGAGGATTAAGGCAGTGCTCACGGCTTGGAGAGGCACGGTGCAGTGATTTTGGGGTTAAAAAAAAAGGAGAAAGGGAAACGGAAACTTTTAAAGGCCAATGGAGGTGCTCCCACCTCAGAAATAGTTTATTTTTGGGTAATATCTAAATAGACAGTATATAAGCTTGTTTAAAACAGAAGGGGATCTGTGCAGTTTTCATCTGCAGGGTGTAGAAAAGCTGAAAATGAGAAGTCCTTAAAGGACAGTAAAAGTAACTTCATCATTGTGAGACGTCTAAAAAAGCAGATACAAAGCACTGCTACCAAAAAATAAATGGGATATGATTACTTAGGTTTTGTTTTGTTGTTTCGGTTCGGGTTTTTTTTTTTTAATGCTTTGGAGTCCATTAAAATGCAGTGGATTTTAATAGCTGTCTAAGCTGTTGTGGAATGAAATAGTTCTTGATGGTGTCACGTGAGGTAATAATAACTGGTGGGTAGAAGAGGGGTGATCTTGCAGCTTTTTCTCTGTGTTTGCCTAGATAGTTGTTAGAGGATAAAGTTTTTTTTAAAAAAAAGTAAACTAACAGTACTTTTTTTGTTCACTTCCAGAAAACTGATTGGGAAGTAGCCATAAAGAGTATTAACAAAAAGAACTTGTCGAAGTCACAAATCCTACTTGGAAAAGAAATCAAAATCTTAAAGGTATGTTAATTTGCAGTGATTTTTAAAGCTGCTTGGCTTGAAAAGGAAAAGAGACTTCTGACCTAGTTCATTCCAGGTCATGGGTGGTATCACAGTAATTGCTGTTGTGATGTTTCTTTGTTAGGGATCCAGAAATAAAAACACTAAGAAAAATAGAAAAAAAATTAAATCTTTAGTTCTGGAAATGTCTCATAACAGGTCGTGAGCATGCTTTTGTAGTTAAAAGTAGGAAATTGGAAATTATTGTGGAAGCAGTCTCTGCTTTGCTTATTGCACATGTGGAAGACTCTGTCCTTCAGGATGGCCAATGTGGCTCCTTTTCCCAGCAGAGCATGGCTGAGGGTGAAGCATCAGTCTTTGATCTTTCTTCATCTTTTTTGCTCAAAGGTGCCTTGAAAGCTGAAACCAGGGAGCTGACTTTAATTCCTGAAGCAGCTGCCCACTTCTGACTTGTGATAATTGCCTTAAAATGTGGAGTGTGGCTCTAGCAGAGGAAATGTAATGGAGCATCTTTCAGTTTTTCAGAGTTATTTTATGGAAACATCTCCTTGGGTGGTCATTTAGCATTCCCTGCTCTCTGAATTTCACATCTCATTTCACACAGCTTTGCAGTAATACTGAGTGCTGCTTTCTTGCCATGTTTCTGAGCTGCTTGAGATACATCACTACTTTATATGCTATTATATGCATATTATATTCTCATTTCTCTATTATATACCAGAATTAGTATTGGGTGTATTAGTGTGCTGCAAGTACTTAACAAATTTTTTTGAGCAGCTACAAATAATTCATGCTCTGTCCCATGAGTTTTATTTAATGTTATTTGGTTTGATTTTCTTTGTGTTAGAAAAGTAAGGTTGATTTGAACATGGTCAAGTTGGTTACTTCACTAAGCAAGACATTATGTAAGAGTAGGAAATAAAATCTTGTCAATTTTCAGTGCTCATTAGAGGATCTTGTGCTCTGGTACTTTCTGTAACAAGTCACTGACATAAAGTTCTGGGACCAAATGTTTTTATGACCTCTCAAGATATTGCCTAACTTCCTTATCCTTTAAATATTGTCTAAACAGCTGGGATTTTCTCTAAATTCTATCTGATCATCTTAAAAAGATTCCCCTGCTCTCTGAATTTCACATCTTATTTCACACAGCTTTGCAGTAATACTGAGTGCTGCTTTCTTCCTGTCTTTTTGAGCTGCTTGAGATACATCACTACTTTATATGCATATTATATTCTCATTTATCTATTATATACCAGAATTAGTGTTGGGTGTATTAGTGTGCTGCAAGTACTTAACAACAAATTTTTTTGAGCAGCTACAAATAATTCATGCTCTGTCCCATGAGTTTTATTTAATGTTATTTGGTTTGATTTTCTTTGTGTTAGAAAGTAAGGTTGATTTGAACATGGTCAAGTTGGTTACTTCACTAAGCAAGACATTATGTAAGAGTAGGAAATAAAATCTTGTCAATTTTCAGTGCTCATTAGAGGATCTTGTGCTCTGGTACTTTCTGTAACAAGTCACTGACATAAAGTTCTGGGACCAAATGTTTTTATGACCTCTCAAGATATTGCCTAACTTCCTTATCCTTTAAATATTGTCTAAACAGCTGGGATTTTCTCTAAATTCTATCTGATCATCTTAAAAAGATTCTCTTTGATTATCACCAAATCAGCATTATCAGCAAATTCAGTTAATAATAGTAGTAGTAATACCAGTAACCTTTTTCCATAATACACATATTTTGTTTTACAGGAACTTCAGCACGAGAACATTGTAGCTCTTTATGATGTCCAGGTAAAATATATTTCGATCCCTTTTTTTTTCCCTCATTAAAATTAATTTATTAAGATATAGTGAGTATGTATAATGTATGTCAGGTGGAAGATTTTGAAT